CTTGTCATACAGGGCTTTGACCATCGTAATCAGTTTATGGGTATACCATATTTCTTCATGATGACCGAAATGCTGTCTCTGTGCACCGAGTCGAAAGCTTTCTCAAAGTCCACAAAATGGATGTACAGTGTAGCATTCTACTCATTGTCTTGCTTCAGTATGTTCCTGAGGAAGAAAATCTGATTAAAAGTCCCTCTCCCTTTCTGAAACCGTGCCTGCTCTTTGCTAAGGGTGTGGTCAACTCCAGCCTGTATTATCTTGATGATGATCCTTATGAGTGCTTTGCTGGCTACGGGCAATGTGACTCCCTTCCACTTGCTGCAGTCCTGTTGCCTCTTTTGTGAATTTTACAGATCAGTCCTCTGGTTCATTCTTTGGGCACCTTTTCCTCTTTCCGTATCTGGTCAAAGGTGTGCTTCAATTCTTGGCTACTCCTATCAAGGTCTGCCTTTAACTTTTCTGCAGTTATTTGATCTGCTCCAGGGGCCTTTCCATTCCGAAGTGTCTTCAGTGTAGTCCTTATTTCCTGTGTGGTGGGTGGCTCAACCGAGAAGTCTAGCTATTCTCCCTCCTCATGTTCATCTTGTGGTGGGGATTCTGGCGTGTCCATGATGAGCACTTCCTCAGAATGTTCCCTCCATCTGGCAAGCCTCGTTTCTTTATTTTCAGCAGCTCCCCCTCTTTGCTCTTCATCGCTGCTGTTTCCTTACTACTCTTTCTTGTCAGCTGCTTTAATATGCTGTACAGTTCCTTCTACCTCCTGTTCTCGGCTGCTTTATGTGCTCGCTCAGCCTTCTCTCCCATCCATCTCCTCTTGTCCTCTATCGCTTTTCTTGACGACTTTGTCTCTCTCCTTGTAATTTTCATTCAACCTAGTCTTGACTCTTTCTGATCTTTTGCTCTCTATCTTTTTCTTGATGTCTTTTCTTTCATCTATCAACTTCAAGGTGTTTTCGTTGATCTAATGTTTGTAGCCAAGTACTTTCTCTGCTGAATTCACATATGCCATCTTCTGATTTTCCACATTTCCTCGATATCATCCGTCTTTTCCCTGTGCTATTCTAATTTCTTTCTCGCAAAGTCATTGTTTTTACTTTGTTGTTTTTGAGGCGTTCTACATCCAATCTTGGTTTCAACTTGTTCTTATACTTGTGTGGTGAGCCGTATCCTGATTCGGGTCTTCACCAGCTAGTGGTCGCTGTCGGCATCCGCTCCCCTCTGAACCTTGATGTCAAGAACAGAAGATCTCCACTGTCCACTAATGAGAAGATGTCAATCTGGGTTTTCAATGTTCCAGTAGCAGACACCCAAGTTGCTTTGTGTACGTCTTTATGGGGGAACAGTGTTCCTATGATTACAAGTCCGTTTGGTCCGACTAAATTCACACAGTATTTCTCCATTCTCGTTCTGTGTTCCCAGTCCTTGGATACCTATAGTTCTTTCATATCCATTATTGCCACTCCCTATCTTGGCCATGAGTCCCCCATGATAATAATGATGTTGTCCGTATTACATTCATCCAAGGTCGCTTGTTACTCCTGAAAGAATTGGTTTTTCTCCTCTTCTTTCTTTTGATTATGTGGTGCATATGCTTGGATCACCGACAATCTCCTGTATCTTGAATAGGATCGTGCTGCCATTGTTCTCTTGCTGATGTGTGTCCATTCCATGAGTGATTTTATAGCCCGTTGGTTGATCATTATGACAAATCCTTCCTTAAGTAGTTCTTCATCCCCAATGTACATGACGGTCTGGCCCGAGGCCAGTCTTATCTTAATAGCTCCGGTGGTTTTCTGCACTCATTGATTCCCACTTCTCTCGCAATCTGTGCTGAATCTCCTCCTCTATACATTATTTGCACATTCCAGTGTTGATGGTGAATGTTTGTTTGAATGTCACAAGGGATCTAGTCAGTGATGTGAAAACTTCGATTGATTGATTGTTTGTTGTTTAATGTTCCTCTCGAGAATTTTTCACTCATATGGAGACGCCACCATTTGTCGGTGAAGAGCTACAAATTTTGTCCTATGCTCGGCAATCAGGGTCATTGAGCAGCGAGGGATCTTTTTCGTGCCAGTGCCTAATGCGACACGGGTCCTCGGTTTATACGGTCTCATCCGAAGGACGGGTCTTCACGTCTCACAGTGATATTCGAACCCGCGATGTAAGGATAGACTCCTTACTTCGCGACTCTAGAGCAGACGCCCTACCCACTGCGCCACGTGGGCGACACTTCGAAAGTACAATATCTTTGTTGGCAAATGTCAGTTCGGGAAAATCGACGGTTAATTTGGAATTATAATCTTATAACAAGTGGTGTTTTAAAAAGTTTGTGATGGAAAAAGTCCATAATTCTCTGTTGTTGAAAACCCCAAACCCAAAGTATGCTTTTGCTCTAGAAGTTCCAAGTATGAATTATTAAATTGATATACATGTAAAAGTAATTTTTATACTAAGTAATAGCATTCAAGCAATATAACTTTGGAATATGTAGACTATAGTACTTAGTATACCATTAAAACAATTTTTGTTTCTACCTTCCAGGACACTTTTTTTTCCTCTTTCCCCATCAACAAATATGTTGAAATTTACAGGTACGTTGAAATTTACTGGGAAAAAAATGCTACCTACCCAATAATTTTACCCTGAGTCGGGAGATGGCAAACAAACATTAATTTAAACATGGCCTAATAGCGAGAATCTTTAATTTCTGGGTGTGGAACTATAGGGACAGATAAGTCAGTTACCTCACACTAATGATTTCCTGTTGTCACTGTGTCACAATGATTTAAAAGATTTCATGTAATCTACTCAGATAGAATATGCTCGACCTTAGGCGATCAAAACTTTTGTTTCTAAATTGTTGCATAAATGCCATGATTCGTGGTTAGAAATATCGCTATATCAGTAGAATATGAGGCAAGTTAAGTAAAATACAAATACTAACATAAGAACATCCTTCGTCTCAAGCCACGGTTCAGAGTCCGCGCTCTTCCCTGAATGGGAGAGAATCGTACATTTTGGCCGTGGTTTGCGACGATGATGAACTATCAAACATTAACCTTGACAATCATTTAGTTTTAGACTTCATATTTACTGTATAGTAGACGGAAAACGCCTGGTGTCTTTTAGGGGCAAAAGTCAAGTCACAAGTCTGTCATTTCCAAACTCAAAAGGAACATTCCTTGACTTAATATTGACATCTTCAATCTAAACCGTAAATATAGTGCGAGGAAGAGACATTAAGATAAAGGAGGGTGACTTCTCAAGGCTCAAGGTTGAGATTATTTGAAACTTCGTAACCTACACATTAACCATAAAGGAGTAGCTTGCTTTGGGGAGGACATCCATATAAACTTTGAGTCCATATCCTTATGTAAAACATTATATACGAGTGAAATTGGACCAAAACTAGAGGTGGAGTAAAATTTTGAAGAAATTTCATAAAGTATCAAATTTTCTTAACCATGGCAACACTGTGCAGAGAAATAAAAACATTTTCTTGATTTTTTTTTTAAAGTCATTTCACAAAAGCTGAATATCTATTAACTAGTTAGGGTGTCTGTAAGGTCAACTGTGACAACATGCATGGTAATTTTTTTCTGCGCAATTAAGGAAAAAATAATATTTTAATTTTTTTTTATTCATGTAGTTGTAAGTGAGTTCTTCCGTCTGTTTGTTGTTGCTCCTTTACAATTTTTTCCCTCTAAAATTGTTCCCGTTTTCACCCCCTAGATACGATGTAAGACAAAATATCTGCACGAACACAATATTGTTTTTATTTCGCTGTCTAATATAACCCCCACTCCCCACGCTTGAAAAGTGGGAGGGTATACAGTGATCGGGATGTCCGTCAGTCTGTTACGCTTTGGGGTACCCATCTCTTCTCCGCAACTCCTCTTATACCACTGAATGATACATAATGAGACAGAATCTTTGCCATATAGTGTCATTGTGCACCTCCTATTTTACTTTTTGATTTGATATATATTTTAGGTTTCAATAACAAAATATGGACACTGTCATTCTATCTTTTATATTGAAGGGCATCCATCTCTTATTCGAAACTCCTCTGAATAAAACCACTAAATAAAATTTATTGATACTCTCACAGATGTTTATTACATAATGACATTGTGCACTTCCTTTTTTTCGATCTAACACTTATTTCGGGTCTCCCAGAGCTAAAAACATGGACTTCGTCATTATGATATGGGAGGAGGGGGTATCATTTAGTGAGATCAGACAGTACTCACAGTACCTCTAGTATTTGATATAGTAAGGGATAAAAAAAAAATCTTATGCTTCTATGATAAACACCGGTTATAAGCATACTGCAAATATGACAGAATGCATCACAGGCACGTAGCATCGTTTTTGAAAGTGGGGGGCCAACCAGAGAAATTTTTTTTTAACTTACCTGAAAAAGTTGACAAGCAAAAAAAAAAAAAAAAATTTGCCCAAACTCGAAAATCCTATTTCGGGGCGGGGGTGGGGTGGGGGGGTGTAGTGGCCAACTTTTTCAATGCCAAGTTACTTTCACTTCCAATTTTTTCCTACAATTCCTTGATATCATTATACTATGATAAAAAGCGGGGGGCTAACCATCCTTTCAATGAACATTTACTATAGTAAAGGTAATTTTGGGGGAAAAAGCACCCCCTGTTGTTTCGTCCCTGCATCAGTACCTGACGAAAGAATATGATGCCCCACCACCACTTTCCACCTTCCTTCGAAGAATTTTTATTAGACATGACAATTTTACCCAAAATATATGAATTCCTAGTCTATCATATCTAGTTTATTTACCAGGATATATTTCGATTTTAGATGCCGTTTCCCGTTTTTGTTAAGTTTCAGAAATTGTCGTTATCAATTCTTTTCTCAGATTCAAAAATATAGCTGACATTTAGTTTTTACCTAAAAAAATTAATATCTACTTCTTTTTTTTACATTTGTTTTCGCTTATTTCTGTATGTCACCCTGCTGACTAATCAAATCCCAGAAATAATAGTACTTTTGAATAGTCATCAGTTTCCATCTTAGTTTGTTAGGGGAAACACTTTCCATTTTTATTCTTTTTTACGCATATAAAAAATAAGCACGTGAAACAAAAAGAACACATTGTAATATTGTTACTTTTTCGTATTACAAGCTGTTGTGAGTTTTATGACGCTGTCGCCCCGAATGAGGTCACATGAATTCCATATCTACATGTAAAATTGTAAATATTTACGATTTATCACATAACCCTGTCCTCACTCTTCTTCGCATATCTCATGGGTTTTCTTCGTTTTCCCTGTTCCAACAAGAAAAATTAGGACACAAATTAGCGACGTATTTATAATGAAAAAAAAATTAATGCGACGGACAAACATCGCACCTTTATTCCCGTAGATTCTAATACTGCGCAGGTTCGTCAATTTAAAATCATTGTCAACAAGGATGTGAATTATCGCTAACCCCTACAGACTATAGAAACCTTTCATAATATGAATATAGACAATTATCGCTGGCAAAAATTAATATAGACTGTAACTAGAACAATATAACTTAGCTCGAATGGATTGAAATTCAGTTTTCCTAGTGTTTACCTGGTGTTATATTTAAAATAAAGATTTCTTTTCAGGAATAATGCATTGAGGGCATACTTACTTGCTATGTTTTCTCGGCGTTCTCTTAGAACTTGTAATTGATTCTTCATCTTGTATATAGTTAACAGAACATCTAAGTAAATCTACAATGCAAAATTATATTCGTAAAATGTAAATGATGAGTAAATATTAGGAGTCATTAGGGAAATCATTTAATTTCGAAGTGCGACGGAAAATGTCATCGGTTTATCTGTCCATCCGTTTGTGTAAGGGTATTAAATATAATTTTAACAATTTCTTCCCTTTTTTTATCCGATTTACATAAACATCGTGCCAATAAATAAATATTTGCTTACATAAGTATCTAATTTTATAAGGGTATGTTGTTGCTACATATCCAATTACATCTACATATTTTTTCGCTGAATTCAACATTTTGTAGGTCTTGAATAAATAGCAATGAATTAAAATGAACAAGGGTTATTTTCATTGGTGTAAAATATATATATATATATATATATATATATATATATATATATATATATATATATATATATATATATATATATATATATATATATATATATATCTTGAACAGATAAATAACCGTAATTCATTTAATTTTATTCAACTGCATGTGTTATATTGACGATAAATACATGTAATTATATTCATTTCATTTCATTCAAAAATGCAATGCATTTTTTTTTATATATAAGGGGAAAATCTCTTCGAAGTACGACACTTACCTGAGCAGGCGTTGTTATCCTTGGGGGAAAATGCAATACGTTTTCAAGAAAAGCCACCCACCTTCTTCTTCTCAGATGCAGCTATGGTTTTGCGTTTTGGAGGAGGGCTCGGAGTGAAGTTGAAGATACTCGCACAGTCGTTTGTAGTGGAGGGCACATCTCTTAGTTGCTCCAGCACTGCGGGGATGGGGTCAGGCGTAATGTGATTCTTTTTGAACACTCTGTTTGTCTGTTTGTGAGTGAAGTCTGCCTGGGGTCTTTGGGGTAACACCGGACTTGCTGACAAAGTTCGGGCTACTTCTTGTTCTGGTGTTACTACTGTCGTTTGATTTTCTTTCTCCGAAAAAGTCTTCCGTTTTCTTCTGACGAGAACAGCATTGGAGGGCACATCCTCGTTGTTCTTATTGTTGACGTCCGGGCTTCTGACGTTGTTTGTATCTGTGAGGATAGTGAGCACTGGAGTACTGCTGAAGATACTCTCTGCTGGGTCGCTGTACAGGCGCCGACATTTAGGAGTTCTGGTGGACTCTTCAACAACAGGATTCACTGGACGCAGAGTGCTAGGACGTGTCGGGGGAACGAATTTTTGACTGCTTCGCATCATGTGTTGGTATCTGAAAATATACAAAACCCAGCAGTCTTACGGGCATAGGAATTTACTTTGCAACAAGAATTTTTTTTTATTTTAATGTGTAAGGATACTTGTTTCAAACACAAAAATAAAATATGTTTAGCCATAATTGTACATGTATAATGTTTGTAACACTTGGGGTTATCTATAACATGTGCTTATCCATCACTACCCCTAAAACACTCAATTGAATTTCATGAATGAGACTTCCACAAAATCTTTACAACATTGTTCTATTGTGTACGTCCTATTTTCGTTTCAATCGACAGATATTTGGATTTCCGGTACTATGAAAACAAATACATTGCTATCTCTCTGTTACTACAACTCACATCGGATCAGGGGTATTATTTTGTGAGCTCAGTGCTCACTGTACCTTGTGTTTTTACTCTGTTTCTTATTATTATTATTATTTTTCTTCTTCTTCCTGGGTACTTATTTGTCCGGGAGTGATCTTGTAAACTACACATCCGACTTAGGTAAAACCTTTTTAGGGTCAGTAGGCATGTTATGTAGATTTGCGGAACGAAGGTCATTTTGCGCGCACGTGCTTGCAAGAGTGTGCACGTGCAACACGTGAAATGACCGATTTAATTGATATAGGCGTAACTTTTTACCTTTTTGATGAAATGCTTTGAAACTCATAATATAAGGATATATTAGTTGCATAGACAACATGACATGGTCAAATTAGCAAGATCTCACGCGCATGCACGTGCGCTTCGCTCTAATTGGCTGAAACCAAAGTCTCAATATCTTTCTTGTTTTTTGATGAAATCCTTTGAAATTTTGAACATAGCCATGCATTAGGATATCCTACAACATCATATATAACAATTATCATGAAAACACGTGCATGCACGTGCGCTGCAATCTGATTGGCTTAAACTTTTAATAGTTATAACTCCCTTGGTTTTCAACCAAACAGGATGGGATTTTGAGCATAGATAGATATAATAAACTTCTACAAGAAGGTATGGTCGCCATGCACATCCGTACACGTGCGTGTACGTGCGCTGCAATCTGATTGGTTGAAACTTTAAATAGCTATAACTCCCTTGGTTTTCAACCAAACAGGATGGGATTTGGAACATAGATAGATATAATGGACTTCTGCAAGAAGGTTTTGTCACCATGCACATCCATACACGTGCACTGCAATCTGATTGGCTGAAACTTTAAACAGTTATAACTCCCTTGGTTACCAAACGGAGTGGGATTTAGAACACAGATAGATGTAATAGACTTCTACAAGAAGGTATGGTCACCATGCTCATGTATGTACGTGCGTGCACATGTAATGAGTAAAATCAAAAAAACACCTGAATGAGCGTATTTTTTAATGCTTTTGGATTAAATACTTTAATATTTAGTATATTAAAATATATAGATTGTATAGACAAGACGATATGGTCATTATGCACATGCATTCACATGCGCACGCGTGCAATGCTAAAATTTGAATGAACTTGGTACCCTTCTGGGTAAACTTTGTTAAAGTCTCAAATGCATAAAGTTTGTCTTATTTAATGAAGCTTACAGGGAATTTGGCACCAAAAGGGAGTTGGGGAGCGTTTGGGGAACATCTGTAACGGTCCCCGTTACAATGAGGACTAGTTGCATTTATTTTGGTTGTGAATTATGCAGAAGAACTGTTGTTTTTTTAAATCTGATTTTCAACATGCACACTTTTTACGGTCATTACATTTCCCTTTACAGTCATAAAGATCTAAGCCTTTTTATCACTTTTTAGGACTTATAGAAATATTAAGGGGAAGAACTCGTTTGGTTATATTAAAGCAGATTATTTTTTTATGTTCATCATTTTTTAAAATAAAAATGTAGCAAGTGAGTTTAAATAAAGTAAGCATCTTATAGATAGAATGTAAATCACAAATGCTGCCTTCAGTATTGACTAATATCTAACAACAATATTCAAGGGGAAATCTATTTCAGGATACATTCATTATTCAAAAACATGTCTAAAATTATCAAAAAGAAATCCCCCACTCTACATCTATTAACTAAGGTCTATTTATCTACTTCAATGTTAAGTTTTGAGTACGTGTTAAAAATCAGCTTTGTTCTATCAAGTAAACTATGAATGACAAAATGATCAACTAGCACCGTATTTTGACAGCTGGTCCCCCCGCAACATAAACATGTACATGTCAAACGTGAAAACATGGGGACTGGAATGCCATCTTATTGTTGGAAAATACAAATGTATCACAGAGATCCCAAAGGCCCAAATACTGGGCATGTACCTTTGCTGCAACACGTTTAACGTGTGATTGTTGTGTGCAAAGATGATATAGAATATTCGGTACGACTATACCTAAATGAGATGATATGGAATAGGATTGGGATATGACCATTACTTTTATGTCAAATAGAAGTGGCACTGGTGTATGTAATCCGAGATTCCTCTGACTCTAACCCCCGCTTTTATATTATGACTTGTCTAGTCTGGCATGACAAATTGGGCTATTAGGCACATGTAGCAATGTGAGGGTGGGGGGATGGTCTTTCCACTGTTTTCCAAACACAACCTTTTTACTTTTGAAAAGGTTCAAAAAAGGGCAAGGATATTAAATTAATCAGTTTATGGTACTGAAAGAGCCTACACCTCACCCCTCCAAATACACACAGGAAAAGTAGATTTTTTTTTCATTCTTGACTTTTTTTCCGGTAGATTGAATTGCTTTTTTTTCTCTCTGGCTGAATCCTAGCCAGGGACATAGCATCGTATTTAAAAGTGAGGACAGGGGCAACTAGTCTTAGCCCTATGGCACACCAATTTACATGTTCTGTACATTTAAATGGTGTGCGATTCCTTAGTGTGTGACATAGGGTTATATCTAATGTGCGGCTAAATACCATGATTTGTTTATGACACAGGACAAGAACTGGTGTCTGACAAAGGACTAAGACTATTGTATGACAATTAGGATTACAATATTGGTGTGTACTACCTGGATGTACACATCGTCTCAAGCCACGGTCCAGATTCCGCATATAACGCATACGTAAGCTCTCTCCTACATGTAGGCCTATGGGAAACTGCATGAGGATCGTACAATTTTGGCGGTGGTTTGCGACGATGACCTGTCTGTGACTACTTGGTCAAAAGGAACTGGTGTGTTGGGAGACAGTCTTTTTTTTTAATAAGAACGTTAAAAACCGGTGAAAGCATTATCACTGCTCCAAAGGCAGGCGCGTAGCCAGCATGGAAATGAAGTGTACGCAGAAAATGGTCAGGGGTCTGGGGGCCGCCTTGAGGCCCCCAGTGGGGGCGAAGCCCTGGTGGGGGCCCAAACCCCCGGAAGCTCCTGGATTTTACGAAATTTTTCAGTCATTTTCTTGCAAAAGAAATGACGATAATCACTTTTCTTGAGCAAATACTTAGCTAAGTTATACTGCTTCCATCGATACTTAGGGAAGAGAACGATAATTTATCAAATTAATTTACGCATATATTGTTATGTTTCCAAGTGTATCAAGAAAAAAAAAGTAGCAATCGCAATATCGTTATCACTGGAGTTTAAATTTATATTACAAAATATAAACGGGGGAGTTGTTGTCTTTTGATTACCTTCATTTGATAGCTGAAACGATTCGAGAATGCTTCAGTTATAATATAATTCTTTAAATTGGTAACATCAGTAAAAGAATTTTTAGCTATATTATTATTTACTTTGTTCACCATACTTTAAATTGTTTAACGACATTTATTCATTACCTCTACGGAAATGAAAAATCCTGTATAGTCGTCCAAGACCTTTGTAACTTTTTCTTTCGATCATGGTCCCTTAGATCGCTTTCCTTCATCAAATATTTGTCCGGATAATCAGGATTAATTAACAGTTGAACATTTTGGTTTAACAATATTTTTCTCCTCAAGAATGTTGAAAGATGTTTTTGGAATTGATTTCATAAAGGACTAAATTTGACTGTGCAGACAATCAGAACAAAATTTGAATCGAAAGTCAAACAGTAAGACGCAAAATAATTTGAAACACAGGTGGTGTCTCTTTTTCCCCGAATAAATTTCTCTCTTTCTTTTTTTCCTTCTTTTTTATCTCTCTTTCTTTTTTTGGAAAATGATGTGTACGCACTTGCGTACTTGCGTATAGGCAGCTACGCGCCTGAAAGGGAACAAAACCCCCGTAACGCCCCTTTTCCTTTTCTGCGTCGTCAACACAATGCCAATGTGTCATTTGAAACTGAATTTACTACTTTCACCTGGGTGTCTCTAAAAATATTATAATTCCAGTTTAATTAACCGTTCTATACTTTTTCCAAAGAACATGGTCAATATTCTTTAAGAGCAACAGCGATCCAAAACCCCATATAACTTCTTCCAAAGAACATGGCCAATATATCCTAAAAACCCCATATAACGTAGGCCTACTGACTCGTGTTGTGTTCACGCAGACGTCAACAGACGCCGGGTTAACGCAGCAGGTGTCAAATGCAAAATGACTTAACAACTTAGAGACGGCATTAAATTTGACACATTATATATACATATGAATAACAGCTAGGCTAACGAAATATTGTCGATTGACATTTGTTTTCTCTTTTCGTTTAAACTTTACCTCGTCGATGTACTCTGTGCTTGAACGGAGGTTGAACTTTGACCTCATAAGCCCCACCTCTTGACGTCACTGTAATGCGCTGTACACAACGCGGTGGGCAGTTGATTCATTCAAGAAGATGTTTGTGTTGGTGTTAAACTATTGCATGAAATTTTGAACCATTTATACAAAGGATTTATTTAAAAGAAGAGGAATTACATTCATATTTCTACCAAATAAGTTACATTTACCGACAGAGAGTATTCTGACATTAAAATTCCGCTGACGTCCATTGTCAGCTGGCTGATTTGCATGTCAGACGAAACATGGGCGAAAAAGTGATAGATGGTATAGAAAAGATAGACCTAAACGGTAAAGAAAAACCCAAAATTATTATTATTGGTGCTGGGATATCAGGAATAGCAACAGCTGATACATTGATCAGGGCAGGATTTACAGATTTCAAGATTTTGGAGGCCTCGGGGCGAACAGGAGGACGAATATGGACGGTTGATATCGGTAAGTTTGTCATGAGAACAACGCGTGATAACCAATCTTGAAGTTTGTTGATGTGTATGTTATATGTATATTGTTTTTTACATTAGTTTAATATTTTCATTCGATATGGTTTTAATATTTTTGATTAAACGAGATTATGAATGAAGGTCGCGAAAGGACGCACGTAGACACTTCGAAAATGGCCAATAAAAAGGACTTTATTTATAGATTTGATAAATTTAGGCTTGGAAATGAAAGTAAAGATCCTGGTTTTATGTAAGGAAGTGTATTACGTATCATACAAAAAGTTTTATAATTGTAAAATATAGCAAAGCCAAAAAGAACCTTTTGTTTGTTTGTTTTGAAAAGATCTAGGCCTAGACTGGCTAGAGGCATGTAGGGATCTGTAGAAAAAACTTAATTATGTACCAGATTTGTCTTTAAAACTGATTGTAGTAGAAGTTTTATACTCCTGGCAGTGGTATGCCAGACAAAAGAGAGAATTTCATTGCCCCGTGTCTGTAAAATATTGATGATCCAGATCCAACCACAGGCAAGTTGTAGTCAGTGGATTCTCTCAGGGTATTGATTCATCAAGGGAGATACTGTGTAATTCAGTGTAATGTCGTAATGTTTGGTAAACAACTTTAAACTATGAGTAAACAAAGAAGATAAAAGAGAAACTAGGTCCTAGATTAAAGACAGAGATGATCGCACTTTGTGAACTTTTAAAAATAAAAACTCTTCCTGCACTTTTATAAAAGATGAATTCATTGATGTGGTGCACTGTCACTTCAAAGAAATTAAAAGACAAAGTCCAAACAAGTATAATTGTGATAGATGTACTAGAGTTATTAGGAATAACATATGAAAAAGTAGTGTTAAATTGGACAGATTTGGTAGTTTTTACAGTCAGAGAAGTGACTTAAAATGTGTTTTATTTGGCCCTGTCAGGTACCCTCTGATATCTACAGAACTTCACATCTTTGATTTGAAAAACATAGATCTTCAATTCTGATAAGTTGAAAAATGTGAGGAATTTGCCCCATTACTAAAAAATTCAGTATATGCCAATTGTAATGATTGATAGATTTTTTTTCTGTTGGAGGGAATCTCATTCTGAGGTTTTTTTTTCATTTGTAAATTATGTGACATATTATTTATCTAACCATGCATTTAACATTGCAGTTCAACAGAACTTCTGGTGAAATAACCTTGTGTATTAAATCACAATTATGGTTTAAACATGTTAATTGCTAAACAGACCATAAATTTGTTAGCTTCTTGCTACAAGCTAGTGCTCCCTAAGTCTTTTCTCCATCAGACATCATAATTAATTTTATAGATTAATAAGTATGTTCCAAATCGCTTTGATATAATGTGTGAATGTCGAAGCTAGATAGCTAAAAATAATTTGGGGATTTTCCAGTAAATGTTGACAATCTGGAATTAATAATTTAATAATTAGCTGTATGATTTTTATTCATCCATTGGGACCAATAAATAGCCATAGAATTTCATTACTAGTGCAAAAAAAAATATATTAACAAAATATGAAACTATATACATGTATAACAAACTAATTGTGTGGAACCATTATAATCAAAGATGAGGTGGCAATACAATAGCAGATTTCTGTCATTTGGTGCTCCAAAACATCATTCTTGAGCCATTTTCATTATTATGCACATGCATCTCTGATTGACTCTAGATACTAAGTTCTAGATACTAAGGCAAGGTTATTCTTGAAATGTGTTAGGCAGTTAGCTATGGTATTACCGTATGAATGATTTTGGAAAAAAGTAAATGCACCATATTGAGAGCCAGAATATGACCTGTGGTAAAGTCTGTTATATTGTATCATGAGAGCCTCTGGCTGGCCTTCACACCAAATGTGATTGGGGTCATACCTGTATGTGTTTCTGTGTGTATGTAGGTCAGTTCTGAGGTGTAATGTGTCAAGATCTGTCAGACACTGTGCTGTTTTATATGTATTGCCATGTATTTAAGTAGATGTGAAATAAATGAGTGATCCCCAGTTCTATAGTATTAAATTGGTTGAGTAGATGTATATATGACCAATGCTTAAGCCTTTGCTGCTGCATTTCAATATTGGAAATCAGACTCCTCGAAATCACTGTTAGATGTACATCACATTTGATCTGACGGAGTCAAGTGATATGGCGGACCGTTTTCTTTTTTTTTTTTATCAGACCAGATACATGCACCTTATTTTGACTCTGAGAAAAGAATTTAAGTATCAGCAACAAATTGTCCTTTATTTTTTTCAACAGCTTTTGATCTTGCAAGTTTTTTTGTTACAATTGATAGAGAGTCTTTTATAAGAGTCATAACTTAGCAAGTTTTATGTCTTTGCTTACTGTTGCTGTAACAGGGATTTTCCAATCATTTTTGGGAATGGGGCCCAGGCCCTTGGATTTGGGAATTTTATGACAATTTATCACTGGGATATTTTATTGTATGATGTTTTTCAGGAAATAAATACTTAAGATGAATAAAAATTGATCTTTTACTTACTTATTCAGAACTATGAATTAGAGAATTGATCATTATAATAAAGTTTTACCCAAGATTCTTCAAAATTTTGTTCATTTCATTCAAATTTCCAAACCTAAACATGTTTGTATTTTGTGAATTATTTTCAGGTTACCTTCTTGAGTTCTTCTTCTTTCAAAAATTGAACATAGGCAGTTCATTTTTGGGAAAAAGGGAGGGGTTTTACAATTGGGAATGGGGCCCATATTCAGCCCTACACGGGGTAGTGGAAAATCCCTGTGTAACAAATTGAATTGACCATCTTCACCACGTCGTACATGCAACCATCTTTTCTGAGTTTGTGATCTTCAGCTACACATCCCAATCCCCACCTTTTATAAATTTGCATCAGCATGATCAGTAGCATCAATTTTTTCAAATGGTCATTTGAAATGACGTTTTCTGGAAAGTAATTGGTCCAGACAAATGTTTACTGCCTTTTGCAGGTCCGAAATAATTTTTTTTTAAATAGAAACCCCTTTCCATAAGGCCATCTGTAAATAATAATTGCTTGCACCGGTTCTCTCCCTAATCTGGGTTAAAAAAAAAGGGGTCAGTAGGTAGTTGGAAAAAATATTTCCAAGAAAATTTCAACATACTTGTGTATGACTATGTAAATTTAAAAAAAATCATGATTTCCTGGAGGTTAAAATAAAGTTGTTAATTGGGCCATTATGATTTTTAGCCAGTCTGATAGTTAAGTGAGAGTCTGAGAAAACAAACAATTTTTAACTCACCAGAATTGAAAGCTGAGGTGAGCTTTTCTGATCAAAATTTTTCTGTTGTCAGTTTTTAGCTCACCTGAGCCGAAGGCTCAAGTGAGCTTTTCTGATCACATTTTGTCCGGCGTCCATCTGTCTGTCTGTCTGTAAACTTTTCACATTTTCGACTTCTTCTCAAGAAACGCTGGGCCAATTTTAACCAAACCTGCCACAAAGCATTCTTGGGTGAAGGGGATTCAAGTTTGTTCAAATGAAGGGCAACACCCTCATTCAAGGGGAGATAATTGGGAATTAATGAAAATTTGGTGGCATGTTTTAAAAATCTTCTTCTCAAGAACCACCATGCCAGGAAAGATGAAACTTATGGGGAAACATCCTCAGGTAGTGTAGATTCAAGTTTGTTCAAATCATGACCCCTGGGGATAGGGCGGGACCAAAATGGCCGACTAAAGTTTTACATAGAAATATATAGGAAAGTTCTTTAAAAATCTTCTTCTCAAGAATGACAAAGCCATAATTCATCATATTTATATGGAATCATCCTCAGGTAGTGTAGATTCAAGTTTGTTCAAATCTTGACCCCCGGGGGTAGGGCGGGGCCACAATGGCCAACCAAAGTTTTACATACAAATATATAGGAAAATTCTTTAAAATCTTCTTCTCAAGAATAGCAAATCCATAATTGATCATATTCATATGAAAGCATCCTCAGGTAGTTTAGATTCTAATTTGTTCAAATCATGACCCCCAGGGGTAGGGCGGGACCAAAATGGCCGACCAAAGTTTGTTCAAATCATGACCCCGGGATAGGGCGGGACCAATGGCTGACCAAGTTTTTACATAGAAATATATAGGAAAATTCTTTAAAAATCATCTTCTAAAGAATAGCAAATCCATGATTGGTCATGGGACTACTTTTGGATTTAAACTTTTCAATAATAAACCAATTTCTACTTTTTCCTAGCCACAGTGCTCAGGTGAGCGATGTGGCCCATGGGCCTCTTGTTTTTTCTGTCATTCTCTTTGTAAACATTTCACACTTTAAATACCCTTGTATTAGCAGCTTGTTTGATAGTAGCCTTTCTCATTATAATTAATGAGATGTTGTAAAACCGAAAATAAAACAATACTTTTATGTTTTATTATTTTAGCATGTTTTCTGAATTCATTAATCCTAAATATTAGCACACTGATTATAGCATACACAATGCTGACTCTGGAACAAAATATTCCTAGGTGTCAGACTTGTGAAATTTTCAACCTAGATAAACAATATTTTCTGTGTGTATTAAAAAAATTCTTTATAAGACGTGTTAGATGTACCTGCATTAGCATCATACAATCTATAGAAAAACAACAATTGTAATGATCCTTTCCAAAAATACCCAAAATGTGTAAAAATCAATCGAATAGAGCAAAAGTGGCACATTTGCATACAATCTTAATTGCTGCTGCTTAACATGATTTTTTTTTTGTTTTTCAACTAAATAATAATGGGATTATTGCAATTTTCAGATGAAGGTGAGAAAGTGGACCTTGGGGCCCATTGGATCCATGGCATAGAGAGAAACCCTATCTACAAAATTGCTGATGACAATAACCTTCTCAAGCTACGTCATGGAGACAAAGGGCTGCGACATCGCAATTGTTTTGTCACCGAGGAAGGCAAAGAAGTTAACGAAAAAGTGGTCAACTCAGTGAATCTGGCTTATGGACAGCTTATCATCCAGGCTGAAGATTTCTATCAGAGCAACATCCCAACAGAGGAAGAAAATGATAGTGTTGGGGCCTACCTCGAGCGCGAGTTTTCCGAAAAACTGGAGAAATATCCCAATGGAGACCGACATATACGAGAGTTGGTTTTTAATCAAAGGAAACTACTGGAGTGTTGTATATCGGGCTGTGATAGACTGGAGGATGTCTCGCTAAGCGAGTTTGGTGGTTATGAGGAACTGCCAGGAGTCCATTACTCTATACCACCTGGCTTTGAGGCAGTGTTAGAAATCCTTAAAAGTTCTATTCCCAAAGACAACATTTTGCTCAATCATCCCGTCAAGTGTGTCCACTGGAGCAGGAAAAATTGTAACGAAAATGACTACAAAGTGATGGTAGAATGTGAGAATGGGGAAATGTTCTATGCAAATCATGTGATTGTAACGGTATCACTAGGGGTGTTGAAGGCTGCTTATGACCGCATGTTTGATCCTCCTTTACCTGAGGAAAAAGTAGGGGCAATAGACCGTCTAGGGTTTGGAATCGTAGATAAAGTAATTCTAAAGTTTGACAAACCAGTGACTGAACAAGATATTTTCCGCATTGAATTGCTTTGGGACGATGAGAACGTTGATTGCAATGATTTGAGACAAACATGGTACCGCAAAATTTACTCCTTTGAAGTTTTACATGAAGGAGTTTTAGTTGGTAAGAAATAATACAATCTACTACATGTATATTTAAGAGAAACAATTCTAATTGTTTCCTAGTTTAACAAAACACACACACAATCAATAGTCTAGAAATTAATGTTGCATTTGAATACTGAATTCTCTCAAACTTTTGTCAGCATTTGAAGAGGGTGAATCTTTCAAATTTAATAGGCATATATAATGGTACATACTTCACCACCATAAATTTGCCATGGAATACAGAGTACTGATGCATCATTCAACTGTATTTTTCATAAACTTGTATTAGTATTTGGTTTTGGTATAATAATTAAAGACTTGAGTAGGTCCAAGTTTTTCAAATGATAGACGAAAGATAGAGAAAAACATTTGGAATGGCATAACAGGTGATGATTTAAAAGCACTACCAGTACTTGGTATTTTGCACCATCATTCCCTATAATTTTAATTAAGCCATTAAAGATGTTTTCGCTATAATATATTTCATATTAAGTCAAGCAGTAGATATAAATCATTATTGGCAAACTGTATAAAATTCACATTTCAAGAGAAGGAATGTTATGATACAGGCAGTAGTTACTGTGTGTCGGGAACCTCAATAAAACTGCATCAGATTTTATACATTAGGAGAGGGTGAATTAAATTCAGCATTTGTGGCCTCTAGAAAACATTTAAATGTTAGTTCTAAGGAGTGCAGCAAAAACTTTTAAAAGATTATCTCTTCTGAATATGCATGTAGTCTGTACTAGTTTTTCACCAGTACAGGTTTTCTGTTGCTATACTTTGAGTAAACCAATCTTGTGATTATTTGAAGCCAATATACTTAACCAGTTGTGCACTTTAATACTTAAAGAAACATCTTGAAAGGGGTTTATAAAAATGTATTATTATTAACTGTCCTTGAGGAGTTTTAATGAACACAGGAAGAATTTTAATTATATTCAAACCCTTGGTTCTGATGTTATTCTATGCCATGGGGTTAAGGAAATATTCACACTCAATTAGAATTATACAAGGCTCTAAACTATTGTAGTGTGACTGTGAAACAGTCATATACATCATGTACATATTACGTGAAATTGTGATCTTTTCAATGATTATTGGGTTCTGTTATCATGGTTATGTTTTGCTCCTGGTCATAGTTGTACAAATAAAGGGTGAAAACTCAATAAATTTAATCAGTGCATCATGTCAATACAACTAGTAGAGAGTATAACTTATACTATAGACTGGTATAAATCATGTAAAATATAATAATCTAATTCTTCTAAACTTACTTTAACTATCGTAAAGCAAAGTTTAAAAAAAAATCATCTGTTGATAGAAATAGTTGAGAAAAATGATAAATGACACAACAGATTTATCTTTGTACTATCGTATACAGGTACAAGTGAATAAATAAGGTACTTTTTGAATCGTAAATTTATGAAGATGACAAGAGTCCTGTTTTCAGAAACCTTTTGTAATGACAAATTGTGTACATGAATAATTAAACAGACTAATGTAAATTTAGCTCTCTGAAGGCTGTAAATATAAACCTAGTGACCCCATAATACTACGAGGAAAAAACACTTAATAACACATTTCTATGAATCATTGAAAAATGGAAATTTCAAGGAAGACCAAATAATTGATTAATCATGTTAAACTTTGGAAAGTTTATAGATAATTTTTTGTCTCTTTCAAACAAGATTTGATTTAAAAAAAAAAAAAAGAAAAAAATTCTAAAGATAAAAAATTCTGTGAAAATAATTCAAGTGCGAACATTGTTTAGGCCAATCCCATAGGATGTCCTCCACTCTGCTTGGAGACCGTGACTTCCTGTGGAGTCTATACTACACTTCCTCCAGTATAAATATATCTCCGTCAATGAAAATAGCCTTTTATATGTCAATGATTAGACAGCCATTGATATTCCTCTTTTTGTTTTTAACATGAATGTACTTATAAAGATTTGGTGTAGGTTACCACGGACACAGTTGCAAAATACTCTATCGGTTCCCAAGTAAACATCTGGTACACAAAGAATCAATACACACTGTTGATAACATGTAGGAATGTAAAAGAATGATCTCTAAACCATTTGTTGACAGCACATATATGACTGGCCTTTAAAATTCCTCTAGCAAGGGAGTGTTAATTTTTAAAAAGGGATCAAACAAACATGATTACAATAATACATCTCTTAGTCTGAAAGTACACCAGGTTCAGATAAAAGGACCCCAAAGTTTTTTTTTTCCTTTTACATTTTTGAATAAGGCACTGTAGATATATTTACATACATGTAGGTGCTGTATAACGTGCATAATTTTCGTGTGCAGTCATAAAGATTTCCTGTGAAATTTCATTAAAATGTCAGCTGTTTAGGTAGTTTGCAAAGCAAATGAAATTTAAAAATGATTACAAAATCCTGTAAGTTGAAAGTATTACAGTCACTGAAAAATAAAGATCTGTGCTTACAACAGTTCAGTGCCTATTTAAGCATGTCAAACCTTATGGTACTTGATATTGTAGTTTTGATTACATACTAGGCATGTTGATGTAAAGAAAAAAAATACATAAGTGGGTTCTAAAAGGTAAAATAATAATTTGACCTCTATCGGCTCAAGTATAACTTTTGTGAATCAGGAAGAAGGCAGGATGAGTGGTGAATTGTATATCTTTTACAGTTTATAGACTGACAGAATCATTCATTTAATAATTTGATATGTTTTTAGCTCACCTGAGCCGAAGGCTCAAGTGAGCTTTTCTGATCACATTTTGTCCGTCGTCCGTCCGTCCGTCCGTCTGTCTGTCTGTCTGTCTGTCCGTCCGTCTGTCTGTCCGTCTGTAAACTTTTCACATTTTCGACTTCTTCTCAAGAACCACTGGGCCAATTTTGACCAAACTTGGTACAAAGCATCCTTGGGTGAAGGGGAATTTAAATTGTTAAAATGAAGGGACCTATCCCCTCGCAAGGGGAGATAATCAAGAAAAGACAAAAATAGGGTTGGGTCATTAAAAAATCTTCTTCTCAAGAACCACTCGGCCAGTAAAGCTGAAACTTATGTGGAAGCATCCTGGGGTAGTGTAGATTTTAAATTGTTCAAATCATGACCCCCGGGGGAAGGGCTGGGCCACAATGGGGAATCAAAGTTTTATATAGAAATATATAGGAAAAATCTTTGAAAATCTTCTTCTCAAGAACCACAGGGCCAGTAAAGCTGAAACTTATGTGGAAGCATCTTGGTATAATGTAGATTCTAAATTGTTCACATCATGGCCCCCGGGAGAAGGGCGGGGCCACAATGGGGAATCAAAGTTTTACATAGAAATATATAGGAAAAATCTTTGAAAATCTTCTTCTCAAGAACCACTGGGCCAGAAAAAGTGAAGCTTATGTGGAAGCATTCTGGGGTAGTGTAAATTCTAAATTATAGGAATCATGACCCCCGGGGGAAGGGCGGGGCCATTATAGGGAATCAAAGTTTTACATAGAAATATATAGGAAAAATCTTTGAAAATCTTCTTCTTAGGAACCACTGGGCCAAAAAAGCTGAAACATATGTGCCCATGGAAGGATCATGGGGTAGTGTAGATTTCAAAATGTCTAAATTATGATCAGTGGGGTAGGGTGGGGATGCATTATGTATAACAAGGGGGAAATCTGGTAAAGAACAGAATGGTCAAAGCTTCTCAGGTGAGCGATGTGGCCCATGGGCCTCTTGTTTAAAATTTATTTTGAATAAATATTGGTCAACAGAGTATATAAATATAGTGTACATGTTACATAGCATATTGTACACTGAAATGGTGGTTCATCTCAGATACTTTATAAGTTTATATACCTCTTCGATACATCAATGCTTTCATCCAATACATTATACCAGTCTAGACGAACTCCAAAAACGGCGTTAACGGAAGTGAGAATTTCAGTCCAGAAAAGACTCCAAAAAACGAGTCCACGCATGCACAGTTATATCAAAAAACGGTGAAAAATCGTGAAAAGTGGGCTCTTATAAAAAGTGCTTTTGCAAAAAATTGGATTACCTTGCAATGATGTAAGTTCTCAGAAATGATTAATAATTAATGTTTTTATAGAACGTATTTGTTAGAATTTTGATTTCATGTGCAAATAGTTTTTAATTTCAAGTCGAAGTTGACCAACTACGAGGTTCAGCCAGACCTCGTACAAGTAGGATACAAAATACAAATTAAACAGTCTAAATCTTATGAAAACATCTCTGTGGTTGATAATTTGTTTGCAGTGACTAAGTTAGTCATTTTAGAACTACTTTTACCGATTTAGAAGTTTTTTTGTAAGTAAGGGGCGCTGGCGAATTTTCAGTTGTTCGAATTTCCTCTGTCTTTCATGTCTCTCGTGTACGAATGAATTTCAGCATGTTTAGAGCAGCAATGAGCAACTGCATTGTAAATACATCTTACCAATAATTAAAAAAGTACTGAATTGATGGTTTTAATTATAAATAAGAGTCGATCAGGTGACAGTTACATGATAATCCATTCAGTTTCCACATTTTCTCCGTTCGGTTGCTTTTTTGAAAAAAAGTTCACGTTTCAAGTTAGATCAATTACAAAGAAAAATAAACGTTTGGGAATTAAATTCATGATAAAAGGGAAAAATATGTAAAATTGAACAATATAATATATATGTTGTAACTGTTAAACAATGACCGAATGTTACCCATTTGTAATATTCTGATATTATTTCGTCATATAATCCTCTATGACATCTGAATTATCATCATCGCTATTTACCTAATGTTATCACATATGAACGGATATACATGTAATCCTGAAAACATTTTTAGAATCATAATCTATCAGTTTAAGAACTTTAAAAAATCATTCTTTTAAAATTAAGGTAAAAAAAGTCTTCTCAAAACGAACCTGTTAATATCTCTGCTCCGCCGCGAAAATTGTGCGGTTTTTCATAAAATAAATATGAACTAAGTGTCTTAGAAGTAAAATTTAAGCATCTTTATAGTAGGAATGGCATAAAATTTAAATCAAGGGGACAATAAACTAAGTTAGGAAATTAATTCTTACCAACTTTATTGAATCCGATGTCGTATATCCCAAATCACTATCATGCAAGAATACAGAGCGATAAATAAGTCAGTAACCACTAAATAATTTAATAAGTGCAATTATTTTTTCAACAAAAATTAAAATCCAGTCACAGTTTACTAAATACAGCCATTATTCGGTCGTATTTGTGGAGAAAGCGAACGACAATCCATCGTTTGTTTACATTGGGAGCCATTTTGTCCCAATGCATGACGGAGCCAAAGACTTCTTTTTTGGAGTTCACGCCATTTTTGGAGTTCGTCTAGACTGTATACTGACCAAGTGCTTAAATTGATATTTTATATAATGTGTCTTTCCCCATGTATATAGGCCAAAAGGCTAATTAAATGCTTTCAAATTGGTACATTTCTTAATTATATATTAATATAATGAATTTCTCCATTGTATACATTGCTGTATGACTGTATGGTTAATTTGATATTTCAATTCATTTCTCCATATCCTGTATATTGTAATTTTTCTCTCATATGACATGTTTTGACAGCATTATATATCTTGTAGGCTGGCTGAGTGGGAAGGAGGCCCTATACATGGAATCTCTTACAGAGGAGCAAATAGCAGAGGATTTAGTGGAGGTCCTCAAAAGATTTCTTCAAAAAGATGACATTCCCAGCCCCAAGAAAATCATCAGGTATCTAAGCTTTTATCTTATAAACAACAGATTATCAACTTCTGGTATTAATTTGTTAAAGTAGGCATTGTTTGCACCCAATATATTGACCTTTTCAAGATTATATATAGCATATTTTGTTGTTGGTTACATTGAATCAAAATATTTTTTTCCTGAGAAAGCATCAATATTAATCAGGAAATAATAAAACCTGGACATTTATCTCATCAATATAGCATCTGCCAAAGGTGTAATGTCCCCTAAATTGTCAAGTTTGCTAAGAAGAAAGAAAGTGTTCTCTACGGGTTTTATCAGGGGGTCAAAAGGTAAAAAACCTAGGAGTTGATGGCATCACCAAGTTGATAAAAATGGCAGATCTCTACTTAGTGCACTCTGAGCATGTTAATAGTTCATGCAGAAAGTGCCTCCCTTCCTTCAATTTTCATCATCATAAAAGCTTGTTCATTGTAAGATTATCCCCCACTCCTACATTTTTCTTCAGATGTACAATAGTAAAATTCTTTATTAATGACAGTATTTCTGAGCATTTTCGATTTGACAACTGGAACTAACTACAGTAATGTTTTCTAAGAGGCTAAATGTATACCTAGACAGATTATGTTTAAAACTGCAGCACACAGCCTGTGTTTTTTTATGAAGCTGTGGGCCATGACACTTGGTCATATATGTATATATTGCAGCGGTGTGAATGGGAGGTCAGATGTCGAGCGAACAAGGACCTTTAACCCTCCTCAATCAATATTTAGGCACGGACTAAGGATTTCTTGAGTCTGATGGAATATAGCAGAATTGCATGCATTGTTATGGTATAAAGTGGGGGATCTGCAGATTGCATTTGTTCCTTGCTTCAGTGCTCGTGTAGTTTGCCTAGTCATTGGTTGAGAAAGCAGCCAAAAGATGATGTTATTTTAGTTGAGATTGGAAAAATTGATTTTCGATTGCTGAAGTCATTGCCTTCCCTTCTGACAAGGTAATTTATCGAAAGGAGCCTGACTCGGGTCTATAGAATAGATAACACCCAGGTGAAAGGGTTTCTTTCTAGGCACCCAGTATTCAGTCAGGAAATCAGTTAAGCATTAGTCTAATTGAATCCACTCATATTTGATTAAATATGGAGACATAATAACCAGTCACCTAGACTGTACAATTTGAACAGTTTACATCACATTGCCCAGGTGTATTGTGCAGGAGAAATTAAGTCAAAATGTTCCTTGTTAATATTGTCTGGATTTAGGTGCAAAATAACAATATAAAGCATATCAACTGTCAACAGCATTCCATTCTAGAAATAGATCTAAAGGTCTCAGAAAGTTGATGATATATTGTAAAATGTTGGGAGGAAGACACTGATATGACCAATGGGCTGACCTTGACCTTGGCCTCAGGGTACTAGTTTGACCTCTGTAATCTTCCACTGTCCTTAGTTTATAGCTGTCATGATTTACACACCTCTAGTTCAGATAATGAGGCCCCTGCTTCACTGAGGAACAGGTGACCAATCAGCTGATTTACAGGTAAAACTGGGCCACTCATTTCCCCATACCTTGTATGATTTTCCTGCAGGCAGCAGTAGAGTTGGTTGTTAGAAATGAAGGAACTAACCTTCAATAACAGGTTTATTGGCTGCTGATTAGCAGGCAGCAGGTTTTTGCAGCATCATGCCTTTAACATTTATATCTGAGTGGAGATACCACATGCATTCCAGGGCCTATTATGTTCATGATGCAGAGGATGAAGAGTAATGTTAGCTAAGTCCCTGATGCCAGCATGTTTTCTTGATTTTGTTCAGGAATATGAAGATCTTAGTTCTTCGTAAAGTAAAATAAGTGGCACTAATGCAGTTATTCAAAGCCATTTTCTGTAACCTTTTCTTCCTTTCCAGCATGTTGATTTTATAGAGCCTTTTGTCCCTAAGGAAAACAGAGATAACTTTCATGCTATTCACCAGGAAGTGGATATGATTTTATGTTTTTGCATTGGAATGAACTTGAATCTAATAATTATGAACACTACAAGTTTGTAAATACCACATAATTGCTAGCTTTTTGTAAACAGAAGTTCAAACTGGTTTGTAAATCAGACTTGGAGAAATCTAGGTCATTGGTTCCACACCTGCATTTAAGTGTAGATGTACACAACAGTGGCAAAAATAATCAATACTTCAAGTGACCAAGGTCCTAGCAATGTTTATTTGGGTTTCGAGATCAATGGTTGGCAGGGCCCAGACAAAGCTTTGGCAATTTTACAACTATCGATATATCAGGAGGTTAAGCAGGCCAAGAATTGGGGCACTGTGCCAATATTTGTAATTAATATAATACCTGTATAAGGTAGCAGGTATATTTGTCACCTACACCAGGTGACCTTCTGACCCTGCCATAGAATAGAAACAATAACATTTTTACCAGGAGAAAAAAAAATTACAGAGTGGTTCAATCCCTTCGGACGCAATAAAACAAATGAAAGAATTTTTTTTAATAATACTTTTAAGATACTGTAAGAGATTGGAAATGGTAAGCTGTGTTTCAATTTATTTGTTACTTATAGAGCTGAGTCAAACAGAGCTGCTGATGAGTCAAGATATAAAATAGGCTGAAATGCTAGATAACCAAATTCTGGATTCAATTCCCTGGCCTATTTTCTAAAATGTTTTCTAGTTTCTTTCATAGTACAGTATCTAAAACATCAATGTAACTACTGTGAAGTTATTGTTTAATGAAACACAAGATTTATATATAATGGAGCATTTTGTCTTCATTTTGATCGTATATATAAAACCAGTCATGCATAGTTGAATATCAACAGATGTATGTCTGTCTTGTTTGAAATGGCAAAATATGCTTACAGCAGCAGATTACAGAGATACTACAAGTCAGTTTGTATATGTAGTGTGGGGTTTGTACTGAGTGTTTGGATCTCTTTACAGGACGAGATGGGGAAACAACATTAACACCAGAGGGTCCTACAGCTTCATCCAAGTGGGGGCCAGCATGTCAGATATAGATGTCCTGGCAGAACCACTGACTGGCACAGAGACAGAAAAGGTAGCACACAAAATATACATAATGATAGGCCCAGGGTGGGGAAAAGTATGCATAATGATAGGCCCAGGGATGGGGAAAAGTATACATAATGATAGGCCCAGGGATGTGGGAATAAGTATACATAATGATAGGCCCAGGGATGGGGATAAGTGTAGGATTAGATAGAAGGAAAACAACTCAGACCTTGGTGGCAGACAAAGTAAATAATCATGAGAAAATGTTGAACAATTCAAAAAGCATTGCATTAATTCAAGTGTTGCATACATAATGTCATGAGGTGTATAACTATTCATACAAATTAGATAATGGTACTAAAGTAGATTTGGTAAATATATATATATATAGAAATATACATAAACCAAATGGGTGTCTCCCTGGCAGCATCTCCATTTGTTAATCTATGCATTGCCAAATACAGGAATATTAAAGTAGACTAAAGATTTTCTAAATTTATTTTGCCATAATCTTGAGAGATCTGATTTTGACCTGTAAATAAGTAAATATTTTGTGACACTAAGTGTTAGTATACCAGAATAAATATCTTGGGAATGATCTTGGTAAAATAAATCAACAGATTTCAACCCATAAACCTGTCTATAAGTTCCTATCTTATTTACAAAATTTTGAATTCCTGTACATATGGTAGGTGATCAGTGAATGTCTTTGTCCTCTCTGCAGAATATGTGTCTAATAAAAATGTCAGGCCTCTCTCCTTAACACAGAGCATCAAAGTAGAGTAGACATGCTAGTAGAGAGAATGAGTTTTATTTCTTCCACAAAGAAATTGGACATTTTTTTTTTTGGTCTTTTTTTTCAGCCACAGGTATTGTTTGGAGGGGAGGCAACTCATGAATGCCACTACTCGACCACGCATGGTGCCCTATTGTCGGGGATGAGGGAAGCCAATAGGATCATCAAGCTCTACTCCGACTGATTGTCATGGCTCTCTTCAATTCCTTCCAGTCTACTCTGTATTGCCATGACAACATATTGCAGTATACTGGATATGTTAGATATTGTTTTTCTCTGCAATTATTTTCCTAGTCTATAGCAGATATTTTTATTGGCACCATAAAATGGACTTGATTGATGAGTACTTGTGTACTAACTCAGTGAGAATACCAGGTAGTTTAATTGTGAGCCAGGGGATTGTATGTTGTATTTTACTTTTTTAATGTTTGCATCAAGGGATAGATTATCATGATCTCAGCTTCTTCAAAAGAGTTAGGGAAATCACAACGCACAAATTACATCTTGCCGTTGACAGCACAGAAAGCTTAGGGTTCTAGGGAGGCTTTTTTTTCTACTTCACTGCCAAATTTTAATAAGGATGTTAATAGCTAAGTATCTATCAATTACACAGAAATATTAAAGGAATTTAAATCATCTGATGAGGTGATCTTGGGTGTTCTGAGAAGACAAGTATTATGTATAGGGGAGTAGATTTACTTTGTTTTTGTATGGATATTATTATTATATTTTTGCTTTGCTGCACCATCAGTTTTGAATTTGCAATTTGTTGATTTGCTTTTTAAAAGCTGATTTTGATATTTCATTCAGGAAATCAAATGTTTTTTTTTTATGTTGATCTTTATCAGTTTTTAAAATGCACCTTTTATAGACTCTACCTCTTTGTGGCTGAATGGAAAAACAGGTTATTTGTATCATGATATCACAGATTATTTATTGATAAGTGTTAACCTGTCTGGTCTTTACTGGATAAATAGGAATCAGCAGTAGCTTTGACATCATTAGACACTGTATCTTCAGAGTAGTAGGGTAGTAGGGCCTGAAAGAGGAGGTGTGTGTGTGTGTGTGTGTGTGTGAGAGTGACAATGAGTGAGCTGAACATTTTACAGTCGTGTTTTTACAAGTTTAAATGATACATGTTTATTCTTCTTACAGTGAAATGTATGGTATAATTTTGTGATTGGGAACATGTGTAGGGCTGTCATTATACCCGAAATGTACCCTTAGGTGTAGCTAATTTATGGAACAATTACATTCAAATGTGTTGGAAATTTTATCTATAAGAAAGTTAATGCATTAAGATATTGTTAATTTGTCTCCAAATTTTATTGAAAAAACTATATTGTATTTTACTGTGGTGCATTTGTATAGTAGTGTAGGTTTTACTAAAAAATGGCGTCAAAAACGAGAGATTTCTTAATACATTGCAATTATAAGGTGATTTAAATAATATGGTACAATTGTTGTCTAGTCAGGAAGCTACTTTAAACTAGTTAAAATGTTGCTATTTCAAGATTAAATGAAAATATTCTTTTTGTTGTTGAAAATAATACAAATCATTAGCTTTTATTCCATTAATTACCCGAACCGAAATACCCGAAACCGAACCTAAAAAAATCATTGACCCGTGACAGCCCTAAACATGTGCTATTATTATACCCTGATGTGTATGCTTAGGTGTAGCTAATTTATGGATGAAATCATACCTCAAATGTGTTGGAAATTTTATCTATAAGAAAGTTTATGCATTAAGATATTGTTAATTTGTCTCCAAATTTTATTGAAAAAACTATATTGTATTTTACTGTGGTGCATTGATAACATATATCTTCCTTGATATAAATTGTATTTATTCAGAAAACAATGGAGAAAAAGTATGAGTAAATTTGTTTGACAAAATCGTGGACAAAAGAACAAATGAATAATTACTCGTCCAAACTTCAGCAAATCTGTTGATGAGATTTAATGTAAGGATCAGATGAAAATTAACATAAATGAAGTGTGACTGGTTCATTTCTGCTGACACAGCAGTCATTGTCATGTTTATGTACCAGGTATTCAATAAAATAATAAATCACACACTTGGACTCGGGTTTTAAATGTACCATGAGTCTGTTTTTCATAATTCTGTATTACAATTTAATCCTGAGTGATGTATCAGACTCATTGTCTTAACCTGAGTGATATCAGACTCACTGTCTTATCCTGAGTGATGTATCACAGACACAGTGTCTTATCCTGAGTGATGTATCACAGACTCAGTGTCTTATCCTGAGTGATGTATCACAGACTCAGTGTCTTATCCTGAGTGATGTATCACAGACTCAGTGTATTATCCTGAGTGATGTATCACAGACTCAGTGTCTTATCCTGAGTGATGTATCACAGACACTGTCTTATCCTGAGTGATGTATCAGACACAGTGTCTTATCCTGAGTGTTGTATCACAGACTCAGTGTCTTATCCTGAGTGATGTATCACAGACTCAGGGTCTTATCCTGAGTGATGTATCACAGACTCAGTGTCTTATCCTGAGTGATGTTTCACAGGCACAGTGTCTTATCTTGAGTGATGTTTCAGACTCAGTGTCTTATCCTGAGTGATGTATCAGACACAGTGTCTTATCCTGAGTGATGTATCAGAGACTCAGTATCTTAACCTGAGTGATGTATCACAGACTCAGTGTCTTATCCTGAGTGATGTATCACAGGCACAGTGTCTTATTCTGAGTGTTGTATTACAGACTCAGGGTCTTATCCTGAGTGATATCAGACTCATTGTCTTATCATGAGTGATATATTACAGACTCAGTATCTTATCCTGAGTGATGTATCACAGACTCAGTGTCTTATCCTGAGTGATGTATCACAGACTCAGTGTCTTATCCTGAGTGTTGTATCACAGATTCAGTGTCTTATCCTGAGTGATGTATCAGACACAGTGTCTTATCCTGAGTGATGTATCACAGACTCAGTTTATTATCCTGAGTGATGTACCAGACAAATGTCTTATCCTGAGTGATGTATCACAGACACAGTGTCTTATCCTGAGTGATGTATTAGACTCAGTGTCTTATCCTGAGTGATATCAGACTCATTGTCTTATCATGAGAGATATATTACAGACTCAGTATCTTATCCTGAGTGATGTATCACAGACTCAGTGTCTTATCCTGAGTGATGTATCAGACACAATGTCTTATCCTGAGTGATGTATCAGACACAGTGTGTCTTATCCTGAGTGATGTATCACACAAACAGTGTCTTATCCGGAGTGATGTATTAGACTCAGTGTCTTATCCTGAGTGATATCAGACTCATTGTCTTATCATGAGAGATATATTACAGACTCAGTATCTTATCCTGAGTGATGTATCACAGACTCAGTGTCTTATCCTGAGTGATGTATCAGACACAATGTCTTATCCTGAGTGATGTATCAGACACAGTGTGTCTTATCCTGAGTGATGTATCACAGACACAGTGTCTTATCCTGAGTGATGTATCAGACTCATTGTCTTATCCTGAGTGATGTATCACAGACTCAGTGTCTTATCCTGAGTGCTGTATCAGAGACTCAGTATCTTATCCTGAGTGATGTATCACAGAAACAGTATCTTATTCTGAGTGATGTATCAGACTCAGTGTCTTATCTTGAGTGATGTATCACAGACTCAGTGTCTTATCCTGAGTGATGTATCACAGACTCAGTGTCTTATCCTGAGTGATGTATCACTTGTCCTGAGTGATGTATCAGACACAGTGTCTTATACTGAGTGATGTATCAGACTCAGTATCTTATCCTTAGTGTTGTATCACAGACTCAGTGTCTTATCCTGAGTGCTGTATCAGAGACTCAGTATCTTATCCTGAGTGATGTATCACACAAACAGTATCTTATTCTGAGTGATGTATCAGACTCAGTGTCTTATCTTGAGTGATGTATCACAGACTCAGTGTCTTATCCTGAGTGATGTATCACAGACTCATGTCTTATCCAGAGTGTTGTATTAGAGACTCAGTGTCTTGTCCTGAGTGATGTATCAGACTCAGTGTCTTATCTTGAGTGATGTATCACAGACTCAGTGTCTTATCCTGAGTGATGTATCACAGACTCAGTGTCTTATCCTGAGTGATGTATTACAGACTCAGTGTCTTATCCTGAGTGATGTATGAAACACAGTCTCTTATCCTGTGTGATGTATTACAGACTCAGTGTCTTATCCTGAGTGATATCAGACTCATTGTCTTATCCTGAGTGATGTATCCCAGACTCAGTATCTTATCCTGAGTGATGTATCACAGACTCAGTGTCTTATCCTGAGTGATGTATGAGACACAGTCTCTTATCCTGAGTGATGTATCACAGACTCAGTGTTGTATCCTGAGTGTTGTATCACAGACTCAATGTCTTATCCTGAGTGATGTAATACAGACTCAGTGTCTTATCCTGAGTGATGTATCACAGACTCAGTGTCTTATCCTGAGTGATGTATCACAGACTCAGTGTCTTACCCTGAGTGATGTATCACAGACTCAGTGTATTATCCTGAGTGATGTGTCACAGACTCAGTGTCTTATCCTGAGTGATGTATCACAGACACTGTCTTATCCTGAGTGATGTATCAGACACAGTGTCTTATCCTGAGTGTTGTATCACAGACTCAGTGTCTTATCCTGAGTGATGTATTAGACACTGTGTCTTATCTTGAGTGATGTATTAGACTCAGTGTCTTATCCTGAGTGATGTATCACAGACTCAGTGTCTTATCCTGAGTGATGTATTAGACTCAGTGTCTTATCCTGAGTGATGTATTAGAGACTCAATGTCTTATCCTGAGTGATGTATCAGACACAGTGTCTTATCCTGAGTGATGTATCAGAGACTCAGTATTTATCAGTGTCACAGACTTATCCTGAGTGATGTATCACAGACACAGACTCAGTGTCAGACTTGTCTTATCCTGAGTGATATCAGATTCATTGTCTTATCATGAGTGATATATTACAGACTCAGTATCTTATCCTGAGTGATGTATCACAGACTCAGTGTCTTATCCTGAGTGATGTATCAGACACAGTGTCTTATCCTGAGTGATGTATCACAGACTCAGTGTCTTATCCTGAGTGATGTATCACAGACTCAGTGTCTTATCCTGAGTGATGTATCACAGACTCAGTGTCTTATCCTGAGTGATGTATTACAGACTCAGTGTCTTATCCTGAGTGATGTATCACAGACTCAGTGTCTTATCCTGAGTGATGTATTACAGACTCAGTATCTTATCCTGAGTGATGTATCACAGACTCAGTGTCTTATCCTGAGTGATGTATCACAGACTCAGTGTCTTATCCTGAGTGTTGTATCAGACACAATGTCTTATCCTGAGTGATGTATCAGACACAGTGTCTTATCCTGAGTGATGTAATACAGACTTAGTGTCTTATCCTGAGTGATGTTTCAGACACAGTGTCTTATCCTGAGTGATGTATCACAGACACAGTGTCTTATCCTGAGTGATGTATTACAGACTCAGTGTCTTATCCTGAGTGATGTATCACAGACTCAGTGTCTTATCCTGAGTGATGTATCAGACACAGTGTCTTATCCTGAGTGATGTATCACAGACACAGTGTCTTATCCTGAGTGATGTATCACAGACACAGTGTCTTATCCTGAGTGATGTATCAGACTCAGTGTCTTATCCTGAGTGATGTATCACAGACACAGTGTCTTATCCTGAGTGATGTATCAGACACAGTGTGTCTTATCCTGAGTGATGTATCACAGACACAGTGTCTTATACTGAGTGATGTATCAGACTCAGTGTCTTATCCTTAGTGATGTATCACAGACTCAGTGTCTTATCCTGAGTGATGTATCACAGACTCAGTGTTGTATCCTGAGTGATGTATCACAGACTCAGTGTCTTATCTTGAGTGATGTATCAGACACAGTGTCTTATCATGAGTGATGTATCACAGACTCAGTGTCTTATCCTGAGTGATGTATCACAGACTCAGTGTCTTATCCTGAGTGATGTATCAGAGACTCAGTGTCTTATCCTGAGTGATGTATCACAGACTCAGTGTCTTATCCTGAGTGATGTATCACAGACTCAGTGTCTTATCCTGAGTGATGTATCACAGACTCAGTGTCTTATCCTGAGTGATGTATCACAGACTCAGTGTCTTATCC